ATAATACATATATGACATGAACACATATAACTGAAAAAAATAATGCATATTAATTTCTTGTGTTCAATTATACAAACATTAATCCCAAGTTATGAGCATATTTATATAATGCGTAGTCTACTTATATTCATGTATATGTAGCATCTCAACCATCAGGCAGTTCCACCCATTCCAACAGTATGTTCTATTGTGTAGATAACTACTGTGGTAAAGGGGAATATGTGCTAAAATTTCTTAAAGGAAATCCATTGCGGTTCAAGATCTTTCTTACATATATGGGTCACTTCTCCATCTGTCTGTCTGTCCGTCCGTCTCAAAACTACTCCTAAAAAAACTACTGGTGCAATTTCATTCAAACTTTACAGGAATGATCAGTATCAAGTCTAGTTGTACATATCTTCGGCATTTTCGGTTCAATGATTTTTGTCAGAGTTATGGTCCTTTAATGAGTTTTACTTTTAAAATATGTCCGGACTACTCCTCTTACACATCTAATGAAATTTCAATGAAACTTCATAGCGTTAATTGGAAGCTCAAGTGCTTGCGCTGATTACACGATTGAATTGTATTTCCTCTGAAAAAATACTTATCTTTTATTTATTCCTGATTTTTCAGTTTTAAAAATGTGTATCCAATGTAATATCAAAATAGACATATCTTTAATACTTGAAGAATAACTAACAGCATGTACAATTGTTAAATAAACAAGATTGGTCAGTGACCACATGTGTCCCCTGCATGTTGCAGATACTGTGTAGCAGGAGCCTAAAAAAAAAAATTAACAGTGCAAAAAACATTTTTTTTATTCAAGGGCCAAAGTCAGACAAAAATCATTCAACCCGAAAGCCAATTGAAATTAAGTCTTATATGAACGTTTTACAGTAAAATCTATAAATGATTTATGCATGCCTTTTTTAAAATCTTGCTCTAAATTAGACACACATTTAAGATTTCTTAAGTTTGTTTTATTTTTCCATAATTTGGCCCTGTCGCAGGAAAAACTTGATTCATAATGCTAAATGAATATGCCAACTTATATAGCAATATTTTATTTATTTATATTTGACCTTTATTCACAAATTTGCAACCTCTTGTTAAAAACAATAACAACAATTAAATGGATGTCACGTCAAGTCATAACGCAACAATTGAAGACTTCATGCAAAAGCTTAAAATGCTGTCATGTATGGTCACACAGAATAATAAAATATTCAAATGCTTTAGGGTCGAGTTCAAAGCAGGGATTTTAAATGCAAATTCTTTTATTTTATGATGTAAAACTTAAAATAATGAAGATCTTCATAGTATTACTTAGCGCAATATTAGGCCTAGTCAAGTTGGACTAAATTTTCACTGTCGATTTTTGTTGGTTGAAACAAAAATCGGGGGAAAAAAAAACAAGAGACTCGTACTAACTGGACTTAACTTAGTTTTGCAATAGCTAATTTGAACAGTTTTTCATAGCATGATTGCTTTAAATTTATATTTACTTATTTACTCACTGATACTTGGAGATTGTTCATAATGGTTTAGGGAGAAAGGGGTGACTGATAAGCTTCCAGAATTTATATAAAAAAAATGAAAACAACAACAAGAAAACCCCCAAAACAGCAAGCAAACAAACAAAAAACAACAACAAAAAACAAAATATTTTGGTGAAATATGGACGTAGATGAGATTTGAGCCATTGATTGGTAATAATATCTAATAAAGTGGTTTGCCTAGCTAACAAGACACACCAATTAGGATGTTATCTTTAAAGCAGTTTTATTGTGTATCTAAGCTTAGGTAACAAGATTGACCGATTAGGGTGCTACCTTTAATAGACGGTTTTACTGTGTATCTTAGCTTAACTAACAAGATTGACCAATTGGGATGTTACCTTTAATATAGCGATTGTATTGTGTATTACATTGCGCTAAGAATTATTGGTTTATTTTTAATAGACGAATTTTACTAGGCTTACATAATTTAGCCCATCGCACACAGAACACACGGCTTATACGGTTGGCCACCCGTGCAAACCGTACATACAACCGAACTAACCGCGAATTTAACCGAGTTACACTCGAGCCATTCGTGTGTATTCGTGCAAGCCGTGTATGATTTTTAAAACTTTTAAAAAACTGGTACGGATGTAATGTCCGTGTAAGATCGTATAAACGACCGTACAAGACCGTAAGAGACCGTGTGAGACCGTATGAGACCGTATATACAACCGTATTTGAAGTACACTCCACGAGTGAGCCTAACCGTGCCAAGATCGTATATAAATCGTATGGAATCGTACGAGACCGTCCCCAAGTCCTACATCCAACACCCGATTAACAGCCGAATGTCACACGATCACGGTACGATTCACTCGAGTGCACACACGGTTTCATACGATCGCCATACGACCAATACGGTTTAAGTACGAATCATACATGGCTGACACGGTATAGTACGGGTATACACGGTCTCACACGGCCTCTTACGGTCTTACACAGCCTCTACCTCAATATTAACTTGACAACGAAAACCACAACTACCTGCTGCCACCCTCAATTGCTAGATCTACCCAAAGTACTTGCTGCATCATACTAGAATGTATCCAAAGAAGAAGGTTCCCATGCAAACAAGGAATGCAAGAAGGGCCATCCAGGCCCGCCAACCACTACAACATTCTGATCCTGCCTAGCCTGATGAGCAGGGGGACTCACCAATGTCTATCAGTCTTATCATGATTTCTAATTCCCTTATCCTGTCATCTGTTGCATCTGGCATTGTTTTATATAACCAATATTCAAATATATAGGTGTTCTTCGTTGAAAGTTTGAAAAAAGCCATCAGAATGGGTCAATTTATAATAAAACATACACGAATATGTGATAATTCGAGCATAACTCGAACAAAAGTCGGCGGGACCCTATGTTAACCCTGTGAAAGTCGAGTAAATCGAGTAAAAGTCGTGTTAAATCGTACCAGGCCGTACTAGACCGGACTTGGAACCGTGCAACAATCGTATGTATTCTGATGCAAATCGTGTTCAAACCTTACTTGACCGAGTATATCCGTCCTTTATTCGTACGTGCTCGTGCTTCATTCGAGTCTAACTCCTACCAACTAATCCCCAGGCACGGTTGGAGCTAAATACTCGTACCAGTCAATCCGTGTATAACCGAGTATACCGTATGGGAACCGTGTGCCCACCCGTGTTTTGTGTGAGACGGGCTTTAGGTAACAAGATTGACCGATTAGGGTGCTACCTTTAATAGACGGTTTTACTGTGTATCTTAGCTTAACTAACAAGATTGACCAATTGGGATGTTACCTTTAATATAGCGATTGTATTGTGTATTACATTGCGCTAAGAATTATTGGTTATTTTTAATAGACGAATTTTACTAGGCTTACATAATTTAGCCCATCGCACACAGAACACACGGCTTATACGGTTGGCCACCCGTGCAAACCGTACATATAACCAAACTAACCGCGAATTTAACCGAGTTACACTCGAGCCATTCGTGTGTATTCGTGCAAGCCGTGTATGATTTTTAAAACTTAAAAAAAAACTGGTACGGATGAAATGTCCGTGTTTGATCGTATAAACGACCGTACAAGACCGTAAGAGATCGTGTGAGACCGCATGAGACCGTATATACAACCGTATTTGAAGTCCACTCCACGAGTGAGCCCAACCGTGCCAAGATCGTATATAAATCGTATGGAATCGTTCGAGACCGTCCGTCCCCAAGTCCTACACCAAACACCCGATTAACATCCGAATGTCACACGATCACGGTACGAGTCAATCGAGTTCACACACGGTTTCATACGATCGTCATACGACCAATACGGTTTAAGTAAGAATCATACATTGCAGACACGGTATAGTACGGGTATACACGGTCTCATTCGACCTCGTACGGTTTATCACGGCCTCTACATCAGCATGAACTGTTTAACGAAAACCACAACTACCTGCTGCCACCCTCAATTGCTAGATCTACCCAGAGTACTTACTTCATCATAGAATGTATCCAAAGGTGAAGGTTCCCACGCACAGAAGGAATGCAAGAAGGGCCATCCAGGCCCACCAACCACTACAACATTCTGATCCTGCCTAGCCTGATGAGTAGGGGGACCCACCAATGTCTACCAGTCTTATCATGATTTCTTATCCCTTATCCTGTCATTTGTTTCATCTGGCATTGTTTTATATAACCAATATTTACATATATAGGTGTTCTTCGTTGAAAATTCGACCATTTATGAAGTCAAGCCATCAGAATGGGCCAATTTATATCAAAACATACACGAATATGTGATAATTCGAGCATAACTCGAACAAAAACCCTGTGAAAGTCGAGTAAAAGTCGTGTTTAATCGTACCAGGCCGTACTAGACCGTACTTGGAACCGTGCAACAATCGTATGTATTCGTATGCAAAACGTGTTCAAACCTTGCTTGACCGAGTATATCCGTCTTTTATTCGTACATGCTCGTGCTACATTCGAGTCTAACTCGTGCCAACTAATCCCCAGGCACGGTTGGAGCTAAATACTCGTACCAGTCAATCTATGTATAGCCGAGTATACCGTATGAAAACCGTGTGTCCAACCGTGTTTTGTGTGAGACGGGCTTAACAAGAATCATCAATTAGTACCTTAAGCATCACTGGTCATGTTTAGAGGGGTTTTATTGTATCTGTCACATTCAAACGCTGCTTTATAAATAACAGTTGAAATGATTCAACATAGAACAACTAAAATTACATTGGTGTCACTTGTTTAGTTTTTTATGTAACTGTCAATTATTTTGTTGAAAATAAACGTTCATTTGAATTACATCTTCCTACAAATGATATAAACGTTCGTTTAGAATTACATTAGATAAATATTACAACTCTCTATATGTGTCAAAGGATGTTATCAATAATGTAGTGGTTTTTACCTGGTCACGTCAGAAAACAGTAATTGAAATACAATAGTCTGAATTATTTAGCGCTACAGCTGGTAATATTGTACCGTATACATGGACAATACCCGGTAAATTGATGCTGTTTTATTTATAATATAAGGAATTCTTACGCTTCTTGAGAAGCATTTACTTGAGAGGAATACAAAATGAGAAAAATACGAAAAGGTTGGTTATTTTCCTTATTTTACGGAGAAGATAATGGTTATAAAATATGATGTATGTTGAGATACATGTATTGTGATCCATATTCCAACCAAATCTTATGATATACTCTATCCTTACTGTTATCTTTAGGATTAAGTTTTTTGTTTGCTTTTGCTTGTATTTTACGGCGCATCAATACTGTTAATGTCATATGACGATCTCCCAGCATTTAGAACTGGGGGAGTAAGACATCAGGTGTCCCTCCCTGCATTATCTCAGGCATGAACTGGCATCTTAGTAGAACTTCCGGTGTTCCGTTAGCTTATCGGATAGCCAACCCGCATGAAAGCACAGCCACTTTAAAATGTGACATTATGTCCATCCATGTGTATGTCACGGTTCAGAACTGTTTACTAATTAGGAGACAAAATGTGTAAGCGCCCGGATAGCTCAGTCAGTAGAGCCGCGGAACGGTATTCCGAGGGTCCCGGGCTCGAATCCCGGTCAGGCTGCACATTTTTCTCACCCTGTGACATCCTGTGAAATTTGGCCCCACGTTGGGTAACATGTATATGTTGAGAGTAAGGTAAAAGTAAAAAAAAAGTTTACATTTTGTCATACTTTCTATTCTACTTTCAATGAATATTCACGTGGCACACTGTAGTTTGTATAAATATCCTGACACGCAGTTGATAAAAAGAGAGGATCAGCTTCTTTTTTTTATCTTTTAGGCAGTTTAAAAATTTTACCAAAGCATTTCTAATTATAAGTTATTGGTCAGTCACCATTTAAATAGTCAGTATTTTGAAATGTATATAATATTATACTCTAACTCGAAATCGAAAAAAATGATCATACTAGCTGTCACTTAAACACCACTTGTGACATTGTCGTACATGTTTATATTACATACATCAATGGTAGGATACTACGTCATCGCGCACCTGCTGAATGCTCCCACTTGGACCATTTTTTTCGTCGACTCAAAGGTAAAATACAATTTTATTATAAGAAAACGTAAGAGTATTAAAAAATCATGTAGCGCACCAAAGAATGGCTATAGTATTTGAGATAATTGTAAAAAAAGTTTATAGATTTATTGCCTGGTTTAGGCCTGAAAACGGGATAAGTGTTTTTCTCTGAATGCTCCCACTCGGACTTCTCCCGAAACATATATGAAATAAGGTTGAAAACCTTCTTTAAAATTATTTTTAACGTACCGGGACATAAACCGAGTCATGTATACCCATTATTCTATATTAGTTTCAAATATTTCTATTCAAAAGTCAGTTTTTCTTAATTCTTTTTATAAAAATGGAAAATGCTCCCACTCGGACTCAACTTCAGAGATGCTCCCACTCGGACCTTAATATATACACATTTTGAAAGCACATTGCTGTCTTAAGATATTACTGTTTTTTTCAAAATATCTTTATATTCACGTTCATATATTCATTTGATCAGTAAGAATTCAATGAAACAGCATTTTTAAAATACGATACTAATATTTAAATTACTAAACAGTCTCGTAAATATGTCTTCTTAGAGGATGAGTATAAGGGAAAAAAGTTGTGTTGAAACAATTCCTCGTTTAAAAGAGTCGCTTAAATAAGAAACAAATTGTTTATACATTTTAAAAATGTAATAACGTTTTGTTTTGCAGAAAGTATTTGAATTTGTGACCAGTATGGGAAAAGGTATAAACCATATTGCGACTCAAGGAAGCACATGGCAGGACATCTTGGCACGGCAAAGCTGGAGCAAATATTTTAGATACCAACTGTGGATATATCTCATTGAGGAGGAATACTCTAGAAAACACAAGAATAATAGTTCTTTGAAGTAACTGTCTTTTGTTCAGTTTTTTGCGTTAATTATTGGACAATGTGTCATAAAGGATGAATTCATCTGAAATTTCACTGGAGGATAGATTTCAATAAAGTAAAATACCGCAAACAAGAATGACAACTCTCCAGTTTTGGAGTTATTGCTCTTTGTATTCACTATCATTAGTTTGCAAGGACCATACCTCTAAAGGTATTTGAGATATAAACTTAAAACTTTATATTGAACATGTTTAATAGAAGTGAATAGCAGAGCATAAGGACCAGAAGTGTTCACTTAATGCTTCTTTGTTGTTTTTCTTTGTTTTTTTCATGGGAGTGTTATTTTTGTCATGATTTATTATGTCTAGGCTATATAATTTTTCATTAATTTTCACGAGTATCATTACTTGGAATTTTTTCACGTATGTAAGGGTTTCTTCCCCTTTGAAATGTACTTCCTCCTTATGGCGGGGGATTTTGCTGTCTGTGATTCCTTCTTGTATTATTGTTGTTATTTTAACGTCATTCAAATATCCTGAAATCATTTTTCTTTGATTTTATTCATAAATATAATGCTCAAATGAAGATTTATCAATATTGTATGTTCCGAAAAGCATTATTTGTAAAGATAATACCGAATTTACATTTCATAAAGGGAGGTAATTAGAAATATATTTTCTATTTAGTGTAAGTTGAATATTTCAAAAAGAAATGAATGCATAATGCATACATGTATATTTTAATGATTACATATAATGTGGACAAGCATTTACAGTACGTATTTTACATATTCCTTTATGTTTGAAAATTGTTTTAGTACCATAAATATTAATACATTTAATTTATAGACAATTTCAATTGGTAACAGCCTGAAATATAACTTACACGATCTTTAATTACCAAAATATGGTAAAGACTGTGATAAAGAAAAAACTATGATCTATGTTTTCTTATTTTTTTATTTTTTATTTAGGTAAAAATACGTACACATGATAACTTTCATACTTAATAATTAATACTTGTTAATAATTGTGACGCCGTAGTATGGCAGTACATTGACTTTTTAACCAGTTCATGACAAAAATGATTTACATGTTGTTCTTTAATAAACTATTCAAATCAACCGATAGATATTGACTTCTTTACGTTCATAAACGTACCATTATGCTGTTTTAAAACCTAAATCACAAGTTTAACAAACACGCAAACGATTGGGTTTTAAATTATTAACAAGATATTAAAGTCAGCAATTATTGAATAAATGCTGCCTCCAATATGTGCACGAGTCCACCAGAATCTTAATCCGGTATGGTACTAAACAATGTATAATGGCTACTTTGTTAAACACCACAATTTTTCAACATCTAAACAAAACTTTATTCTTGAGATCCAAACTGCCCATTTAAAGTCTTATAGTCCTAGCTTGTTGTTGGCAATAATTTTGAATTATCTCTTCGCTTGCAACAAAAGCCAAGTGCACCTTTTTGTATAGTGATCCTGTCAGTTGAAACTTTGTCATGGCACCTTGTTCCTGCCCAACGACGTCATTATACAGAATCAAAGAAGTGATCTCTGTAACAAGAATGAAAAGTTAATGTTGCCAAACACAGTAGTTATTGACAAAATGGTGTTAAAATTGTGAGAATAATCCATAAAAGCTAATACAGCAATGTGCTTTCAAAATGTATAAATTTGGGTCCGAGTGGGAGCATCTCTGAAATCGAGTCCGAGTGGGAGCATTTTCCATTTTCATAAAAAAAAAACTTTAAAAGACTGACTTTTAAATAGAAATATTTGAAACTAATAAAGAATAATGGGTATACATGACTCGGTTTATGTTCCGATACGTTAAAAATAATTTTAAAGAAGGTTTTCAACCTTATTTCATATATGTTTCGGGAGAAGTCCGAGTGGGAGCATTCAGAGAAAAACACTTATCCCGTGTTCAGGCCTAAATCAGGCAATAAATCTATAAACTTTTTTTACAATTATCTCAAGTACTATAGCCATTCTTTGGTGCGCTACATGATTTTTTAATACTCTTACGTTTTCTTATAATAAAATTTTATTTTACCTTTGAGTCGACGAAAAAATGGTCCAAGTGGGAGCATTTTGCAGGTGCGCGATGACGTAGTATCCTACCATTGTACATTATCACAGCCGGTGTATGGTTAACATCTCCATATGTCACAGAAATGTATTCAATAATATATCATTTATAATTAATTTTTACTTTATACTTTTCTAGGACTAAAGATTTTCCGGACTTACCCAATAGTAATTTGTTTATGCGTTGGCTACATCTATATATGTATGAATTTTTTCGTTAAAACAACTCCGGAACACCGTATTACACACAATCAAATGACTGTTATTACTTATTTCACGGATAAAGGAGTTGATGGCGAAACTAGAGCGAAAACTACAAAAGAAGATAAGCAAACAGACATTCGCAATATACCTAAATGCAATATGTCTAGCTATATTGCTTATGGTAGTGGCCTTTGTCTTACAGTGTTGTCCAAGAGAAAGATTTCTTTACCATCAGATGTAATAATGGGTAAAACGTTAAAGCTGAGTCAGCAAAAAATAATGAAGACTAAAGCAGGCAGTAGAAATCATCGGAACGATTATTTATTGTCAAGAGAAGAAAACTGTAGCATTGATAAGGTTGTTCAACATTGTCACACTTTAAGGGAATCGTATATATATGGAAAACATAACACTTCGACTGAAGAGAAGTTGTATCCACTAGCGTTTGCAATGAAAATTCATACATACGGTAACCAAGCACACAGACTTTTAAGATACATTTATCATCAACATAATATATACTGTATACATATCGATGGAAAAGCAGATATTGAAATCTACAAGAGATTCAAACTAATTGAGTCATGTTTTGATAACATTATTGTTATCGAAGATCGAGTACGTGTGGTATACTCAACAATACGTGTTGTAGAGGCAGAGCTAAAATGTATGAAAGCTTTAAGTGGATCAACAACGAAATGGAAATATTATATCAATTTAACTGGACAAGAATTTATGTTGAAGACCAATGCAGAACTTCTGAAGATATTAAAAGCTATGAATGGAACTAATGATATTGAAAGTTATCCGGTACCATTTACAGAATATCACAAATTCAAACAAAGGACATTTATCATAAACGAAAATCCTATTATAACGCGTCAAAAGAAGCAAGGATTTCGTCAAAACATTAAAATACATAAAGGAAGTGCTTACGGAATGTTTAGTAGAGAATTTGTAAATTTCATTTTAAATGATAACTTTGTGAAAGATTTTTTGATTTGGTTAGGAGACACTTACGCTCCAGAAGAATTAATCTGGGCAACATTACAAGTGTTGCCAGGTACTCCCGGAGGGCGTTCCAACTCAGTGTCAACCAAAGACATTTATATTTCACGGGCTGTCAAGTGGCAAATGGATCAAACAGTAACTTGTCATGGAAAATACGTACACTGGATTTGTATTTATGGTTTAGAAGATCTTCCATGGTTACTTAGTCATAGAAATATTGTTGCAAACAAATTTTATGAAGACTTTGACCCACTTGCCTTATATTGTGTTGAAAATATTATGTATTTAAGGTTAATGCATGGCAAATGATCACATTGATCTGACTTTATACACGCAGTAACACATATTATCAAGAAACTTTCACACACAATTAAGAGTTGTTTCAAACTAAGTGTTTTAGTAATTTTATCTTGGAAAAGTACATCAAATCGTTGTTAACAACGCCGCGATAGGTATTTCATAGCGCGTTAGTGACATTCGTTTCTAAAAGAAGATTGGGAAACAAATCGCCACTTCATTAATTTACATATTGAGAGCGTAATTGTTAATAAGACCTTCTTGTTTATATGTTTTATCGACGGCAAATTTCAGTTTCTACTTAAGTTCTTTTGACATGACAATTATATGAAACGATTTATGAATTATCTATAACTAACCTATTTAACCTTTTGGAGAGCCAAAAGCCGCTCTAAGCGACTTAATTAAAAATGTTGATAAGCCATGATTTGGTCTCAAGACATGTATTTATTAATAAACACTTAGTTCTTTTGCTCAACGGACACCTTTTGAAAGTCCGATTTCTCAAATACGATCGTTTTTATTAATCGTATAGATAAACAAGATCGAGACTGCACGTGGATGTTGCTGGTCGGGCTGTCACTTAGATAAGCACTTGAATGTTATTTGTACTAACATTTCCGAAAATATCCTTTACAGCACATTGGAGGATAATGTTCAATCGGCTATGCCTCAATACAGAGGTTTTCAATATAGTGTTATTTTTCACATTTTTACCTTTGTTAACCGCATCTTTTTAAGATTGGCTTTTTATATATAATATATTGTTTTCTTTGAGTGAGATCCTTTGATTTATTCATATGCATTCCCGATATACATTTGTAATGAATTACAAAAATACATGTATATATTTTCGGAAATGGACAATTACACCTTAGTTAAATATAATTTGTCAAAAATGCTGCAAAAGATGCGCATTATACTTCAATTATTTGTTTTCTTGTAAAACCTTTGTATATCCTTATTGTTATGATGTTATCTTTTCCATTTGCTTATACAATTAAATATTATTATTTTAATTTATTGATTGGTATTAGCCATTTGATATATGTCTATATAGATTATACGTACGTACTGTGTACGCATGGATATATTGCGCAAATGTATTTTGAAATAAATTTGAATGAACTTTTGAAACACTATATTATCAATTGCCAAAGTTCATTGCTCTTAAAACAGCTTTTTTAACTTCACTCATGTAAAAATTGTGTTATAATTGTTTGAAATATAGAATTATATAAAGGATTTATGACACTGATTTAGGCACTTTTTTAATGTGACCCTGGAAGATACACCTACAAGATACATAAACCAAAGGTCAACAAATCAATATGACCATTAATATATGTATTAACTAGTATCTTTGATGTTAAAATGCTAAGACTTGAGTCTGCCGGTAACACAGGCTATTTACCGTACACACGTATTAAATGTAACTAATATACGGAATGTATACCGTGGGGAACCCGGTTGAAAGCTGTGTTGGAAGACTCTACAAGCTTGTTTCATTCCGAAGATGGGCAGGGTACAAAGTATAAAAAATAGAGAACATTAGATGAGTGTAGGCTCAATACGAAATTTATTGAACGAGTTGAATAAAATAACCTACAAAAATTCTATTTTTTTCGCCTTTTTAAATCCGGCTCTAAATAAGACAAAAATTTAAGATTTCGTAGGTTTGTTTTATTTTTCCATAATAAGGCCCTGTCGCAGGAAAAAAAACTTGATTCATAATAATGCTAAATGAATATGGCAACTTACATAGCAATATTTTATATATTTGACCTTTATTCACAAATTTGCCAACTCTTTTTAACATGAGTAACAATAATTAAATGGATGTGAAGTCAAGTCATAACGCAACAATTTAAGACTTCTTGCAAAAGTTTAAAATGCTGTCACATCTTTGTATGGTCACACAGAATAATATAATATTAGAGTCGAGTTCAAAGCAGGGATTTTAAATGCAAATTCTTTTATTTTATACTATTAAACTAAGAATAATGAAGATCTTCATTGTATTACTTAGCGCAATATATTTGGCCTAGTCAAGTTCGACTAGATTTTCACTGTCTAATTTGGTTGGTTGAAAAAATAAATGAAAAAAAAAACAACAACAAAAAAAAACCACAAAAACAACAACAACAAGACACTCGTACTAACTGGCCTAAACCTAGTTTTGAAATAACTAATTTAAACAGTTTTGCATAGCATGTTTGCTTTAAATGTATATTTACTCACTGATACTGGGAGTATGTTCATAATGTTTTTATGGTGAAAGGGGTGACTGATTAACTTTCAGAATTTATTAAGAAATGAAAACAACAACAGGAAAACCCCCAAAACAGCAAGCAAACAAAAAAAAATTTGGTGAAATATGGACATAGCTGAGATTTGTACTGAGCCATCGATTGGTAATAAAAAGAGGATATTTGTTTGTTTGTGTGTAAGGTGAAATTTTATTTCATTGAGTGGGCTTTAAAAACAGTATTCTCACTCGTGGCTACGCCTCGAGTGAGAATACTGTTTTTAAAGTTCACAAGATGAAATAAAATTACATCTTACACAACAAACAAACACATTTTCTTTTTATTTTATGCTTAACAACAAGTGAAAACGAAATTTTCTTAATATTTACGTTAATATTAAAATCTGTTTTCCCCATTTAGAGCCTCAAAAAAATCGAATTTCTCATTAAATACAAGAAGTCATGGGCTGAAAAAATAAGTTCCACAATCAACTTTAAATGGTGGCGATAGTATTCATTTTATTGAAAAGCTATGTCTGATCGCTTGTTTAAATAATAAAAACAAATAATTCCAGTAGGAGAAAAAGTCCAACCATTGTTACTGACTGCGAATTTATATTAGACCTGGCTATGTTAAATGTAAGCGGCCGCCATTTTTAAAGTTGTGTATTTCACTGAATGAAAATAATTGTGTTTGATTCAGAGGGATATCATTTGGATTTGTTAGTCATACACCTTTTTAAAAGGAAGAAGACTTATTTGAGGATTGTAACATGATTGTGTTGACAGATGTGTAAACATTCAAATAAGTGGATAGGAAATTGGAGAACTCGGAAGCCTTACGAACTCTGGGTTGTTTACATAATCTTCGACTGAAAGCTGCCGATGCTTTTCAAGTTTTCATAAAGCATACGGCAGTTATTGCTCGTAGGATACTTAAATATTCCCAAATGTCATCAAGAACAGTTTTGCATGTGGAAGGAATGTATTTTTCAGACTGTAAAAATGAAACAAAAAATTAAAGAGACGATATTTGGTGATTGGTAACTTGAATGAATAGAAGTAACTAACTGTAAGTTTTCTTCTTTTTATTACTTGTGTCATATAAGTTATTCATCAATTTCAGGTTAACTTTTCTTTAAACAGCCTGACATTGTCGGAATAGTCAGCAAAAATAAAATTGAGGTGCCACATGAGGAAAATCTTAAAAAAGTAGTTTCGTCATTGAAAAGTGTGAAATTATATTTTGATAATTTTCACTGTGAAATTATCAAATATAATTTTCACGGATAAATCAGTAATTCACTGAAAAGCATAAAATAATATCTAATAACGTGGTTTTGTCTAGCTAACAAGATACACCAATTAGGATGTTATCTTTAAGGCGGAAAGCGGTTTTTTGTATATCTAAGCTTAGGTAACAAGATTGACCAATTAGGGTGTTACCTTTAATAGAGCGATTTTACAGTGTTTCTAAGCTTAGCTAACAAGATTAACAAATTAGGATGTTACCTTTAATATATCAGTTTTACTTTGTTTCTAAGCTTAGTTAACATGATTGACCAATTAGGATGTTCTCTATAATATAGCGCTTGTACTGTGTACAACAAGATTGGCCAATTAGGACGTTACCTTAAATAGAGCGGTTTTATTGTGTATCTAAGCTTACCGAACAATGCGCTAAGAATTATTGGTTATTTTTAATAGACGAATTTTACTGAGTATCTATATAGACCTACATAACAAGAACAAGAATCATCAACTGGTACCTTAAAGCATCACTGGTTATGTTAAGAAGGGGTTTACTGTTTGTGTCACACTCAAAAACAAACTCAAATATAACAGTTGAAATGATTCAACATTCACATCTGTTTCACTTGTTTAGTTTTTTTATGTAACTGTCAATCATTTTGTTGTAAATAAACGTTCATTTGATTTACATCTTCCTACAAATTATATAAACGATCGTTTAGAATTACATTAGATAAATATTACAACTCTCTATATGTGTCAAAGGATGTTATCAATTATGTAGTGGTTTTTACCTGGTCACGTCAGAAAACAGTAATTGAAATACAATAGTCTGAATTATTTAGCGCTACAATTGGTAATATTGTACAGTATACATGGACAATACCCGGTAAATTGATGTTGTTTTATTTATAATATAAGGAATTCTTACGCTTCTTGAGCAGCCTTTACTTGAAAGGAATACAAAAATGAGAAGAATACGGTTATTTTCCTTACTTACGGAGACGATATTGGTTATAAAATATAATGTATGTTGAGATATTGTGATCCATATTCCAACCAAATCTTATGATATACTCTATCCTTACTGTTATCTAAAGGATTAAGTTTTTTGTTTGTTTTTGCTTGTATTTCACGGCGCATCAATACTGTTAATGTCATATGACGATTCTACACCAATTAAAACTGGGGGGGGGGGGTCCCACCCTGCATTATCTCAGGCATGAACTGGGATCTTAGTAGAACCACCGGTGTTTCCGTAAGATTATCGGATAGCCAACTAGCATGAAAACACAGCCACTTTAAAATGTGACATTATGTCCATCCATGTGTATGTCACGGTTCAGAACTGTTTACTAATTAGGAGACAAAATGTGTAAGCGCCCGGATAGCTCAGTCAGTAGAGCCGCGGAACGGTATTCCAAGGGTCCCGGGCTCTAATCCCGGTCAGGCTGCACATTTTCCTCACCCTGTGACATCCTGTGAAATTTGGCCTTTACGTTGGGCAACAAGTATATGTTGAGAGTAA